ATTGATCGTGTTCGCGTATAAGAAAATTAATAAATTATGGAGGATGTTCGTGTATAGATTGCTTGTATGGGGGAGCTGCCAGAGACGCTTACCCAAGGTCGTACATATATAAGATGATCGAGTGTTTTGTTTGGGGTTTTTATTTTTTGGGGGGTTTTTTTTTTGATTTTACTAGTGTGGTTCCCATATATTAAGGACTTCTGATAGTAAGGTCTATGATACAAAAGTATTATAGAAGGTCTCTTTGATGCATAAGCATTTTTATAGTAGAGTTATGGACTGAAGTAAAGCAAATATGTGGAAGGTCTCAAATATGTAAAAGCATTATGTTAATAGAAATGGGACTTGAAAAGGATTATTATGGCGTGTATACTGCATCACAAGCGACCGAGACTGAGGAAAACTTGGACTCGCTAACCGATGTGTCCTAGACATATTGTCTTAGTGCCGGTGGTAAGCGGGTTTGTTGTAGCAATACAACTTTCCCGTGGACATCGGACACCCATACCGTTTATGGGCGGCATCCTAGCCCTTCGCGATACGTCATCTATCTTTCGGATTGAGATGAGTGTATTTGGCAGCACTTTTAAGTGTAACAAGCATACTCAACTTCATGTCTTAGTGCACTAGCGCTATGATACGTGGAGTTTCGTCCACTGGCGTCTTAGTAGCGTGCTATTATGATACGTTGGTGTTGTTTTTAGTTAATAACAATACAAATTTTGTTACAAAAGTCGATAGGGATCATGGGATCATGTGATGCATTGATGCTTACTGCTACTTGCGATATTGCGTCTTGTGATGGACCTGCGGGTGTGCTGCGCCTGATTTGACACGTTCTTGTGGTTCTGGTTGATGGAGGTATGCGGGTGGTGATATCTGCTGGGATATATGGGAGACCTTGGGACGGACGTTCTGCAGCATTGCGTATCTACGATGGTTGTTTGGTGGGACGCTATTCTCAATAGCGCTCTCTGCGCCTAGGTTTGACTAACACCTAAGTAGCTTTGCCCAAGTCGCGTCCCTTCATTACGGGGTTGCAGACTGTCTGACCTCCATGATGTTTTATATAAGAACATAATAATATATCTCTGTAACTTTCCACCTTTGAATGATTGAAGGCAACTTGTTGGTGCGTGAGACAAACATGATTGAAAATGCATTTACTCAACGTCAGTGACACAAACTCTTTCTGATGGAAAATGATTACTATTATCTTACAACTGCCTTTTCGCTATATCTGCCGTTATATTGGTTGATCGAGCATATGTGTAGACCTCATGCGGGTGATAGCTGGATAGAGTGGGAGGTAGGAGAACGTGGGACCCCATTCCCTTGAGGTGAGCAGTAGACTCATGACATGCTCTGCGGCTAGTAGCCGTGCTGATCATGCAATTGGTGGTGATGCCATACACTTACATCACGTCTGCAGGAACGGCGCTATGGCTGGTGGTTGCGCTCACAGTGGGTTTATGGCCAGTGTGCCTTTTAGCCTAAACCGTGTGATGTACATTCACTGTGGCTGGATTTTTTCGTACTCTCATGGCGTTTACACGCATTGACATGCCCTACTTCGATCGATGTTTGTGCTTACGCACTACCAAGGGGACAAACCCTCTTTTACTGGTTCGTATCGACCCCTTCGGAGGGAGCACATTAAATGTTTGGCGCTCACCGCGCATTGCATGTGTGGAGCCGTGGATAAATGAGGAAGAGCGATACCCTTGTATCGGATATTTTGTATATATACATATTATGAGCCTTTCCCAAGCGGGAATGGATAATAATAAAATTAATAATGTAAACCTGATACAAGTGGAATAGGGACGTTTTAATGTTCTTAGTCTTCTTCGAGCCCTGTCTTCGTGAACGGGGTTCACTTAGCTTATAAGCACTACCAACGACTTTCAATAGCTCTAGTGAATATTCATTCTTCCAAAAGACACCTACAAGAACGATGTTATTAAACAAACACAACGTAAATAAGGGTCCTAACTGAGACTATCACGCCAAAAATATTGCAAACGGCCTATCACTGAACCTTTAGAAAGATCATTTGGAACTATCGAAACATATTTATTTATCCTAATCACATACTCGTATAAATATATTTATAATTTCATATGTAAAGGAGAAATAACTTCTTATAATATACTAAGAACGGGAGCGGGGCGTTAACACGTTGACTGCGAAACGAGGCTTGAAACACCTCGTCCGTGTCTCGTCATTATAGCGGTAAGGAAAAACTTAAACTTCTCTATCGTGCGAGAGGCGTAACTTCCGTTTGCTTCATTCTAGGAAAGAGATAACTATATATCTGAGATGTGCTATTGATGCCGAGTTTTTTGGTATATCTACCTAAATACCGGATTTTTTTAGGCCTCGTACCGCACTGAATAAATTAATGTATAAAACAGTGCATTACGAGGTTGCGAACACCTCGTACCCAGCACACATCGCACCGCACCCTACGCTAGCTTTACGCGGTTAGTGTTGCGCAAAACGTTGAACGCTGCACCCGCGACGATATAATAAGATGTCGAAACGTTGCCGAAGAAAGTTAATTAATAATATTATTGATGATGAAGAGGAATTGGGTGGTAAATCTAATTCTAAATTAACGATATTTGAAAAACAGGTAAGTTCCCAATCAATATTTACAAATTATACTCAGTCTAAGTGAAATAATTTTATACGAATATAACAAATAAATTCAACTGACAAAAACAAAACACACACAGGCCGTAACGATCCCATACTTATGTATAGAAATGCTCCAATAAATCGTTACACCTAATCAACCCGCTTCAAAAATACACTATCATTTTTTCAGAACCCGCTCCAAACAACCCACATCATCTCTAAAAAGGATCAAAGAAAATGAGATGTGTAGGATGCTACGAAAATCTTCGCACCTTCCTATCAAGTCGTGAGGCTGACAAAATAGCAAAGAAAATTCTCACAGAATGTATCGGTTGCAAAAAATATTATTGTTTGCCCTGTTTTAATAAAAAGCATCCATAAGTACAATTAAATAAAATCGATATTTTTTCCCATCACTAAACAATATGAAAAACTGCCCTTTTTCAGTGCGGTATGGGGTACATAAAACCCCACATTTTATTTTACCTATAGAATCTAAACTAAATAATCCGCCCACAGGCGGCGGCAGATTTAGGTTAATCAACTCATTCTTAATGATAATCGGGACAAAAACCACACAATTCGCCTTATTTGGCGCCAAAAAAAGGATTTTTGTCTCATGTGGGCGGTGAGGTTTAATAAGCCTCGTGCCGCTACAACCTCTGGTTCAGAACGGGGTTTCAAACGTCTCGTAACGCAGTAATGGAAAGTACAGATAAATCAGTGCCGCGGGGAACGTGTTAAAACTTGTAAAAATATTGTTAACACACATATATTGTTATATTCTTGCACTACTTCTGCAATACGTGTAGCTTCAAGAATAAATTATCAAGATTGTATGGTGTATGGTGTATGAAACATTTTATACTGATGGAAGAAATTTCCAAGGGATTTTTTAATTGATTGGGGATTTTTTGTGTGCGTTTGAGTGGATCTCTGGATGGCTTAAATTCACAATTCTCCCCGACAGGTGGCGCTATTGTCGAGATCCAGAAATCGTCCGTGTGAAGCGAAGAAGTTGCTTAGTCAATTGTTTAACGTTGTTCTCCCATATATATGTTTTTATATATAAGACATCCTACAGAAAGAGCGCTCCGCATAACCATTACTTAATAAACTTAAAATATATATAGGATAGTAAAGCAATTTGGTATAACTTCAACTAGTTTCTTTTCATTAATTAGTTTAAAAATTTTACCGTAAGAGATGTAAGACTCTAAACTTAGACTTTACTAAGATTAGAACCGAATGCACTTATTCACTAAGTGTTCATATACGGCATCTGGATAATAATAAATGATATTACGTACATTTTTCAGATCTATGTTTTTCTTATTATTATCTTCCAAATCAATAAAAAATTTGAATTTCTTGTTACATGTATCTACTGTATAGAATTGGCGTCATCTATTTATATCCAAAATCCAAACAGCCGACCAACACAACGTTTAGCGTGCCTCCTTTAAATTTTTCTGCGCAGTAGCCTGAGAATCTGAGATTTATTTGAAAATTTTGATTCTTGTTTACGCCACCGTATTCTGCTACAACTCAAGTACTTAACTTTTTAGCTGTTTCCTCGTACATTTTTCATCACCGTACGTTTTCTGATCGGATTGGTTATACGTATGTTGCTCATGAACTCTTTTTAATGACATAATTAACTTGCTGCCTTCACATAGCCGTAGTAGCTCAGTTGCTTAGCCCTTGCTGTAAATTTCACTGTAAGGGAGCAACCCGGATCCTCGCCGGCACTAAAGAAATTGATAGTTGCAATTTTAATTGCTGATTTACCACGTGCTCGGCAGTGAAGAAAAACATGGCATGTTTCAGAATTAAGAAAATAAATATTTCGAACTCCAGGCCAGTACGAAGGACATTTCCTTGCCCTAAAACCCTCTCAGAAATAAAATCATGACGTGTATCGGCTATAGCTTTAACTTTATCTTCACAAACATCTCTAAAATGTCTCCACAAAAAATAGTATCGAGTTTTTCATCTTTTCAAAAATTAACTTTTCCATCCTCATTTCCACGATTTTACTAGGAATTAAATTTTCATAATGTCATCATAATTATTTTTGAAGCTTTGACAGCTATTGTATTGAATGAGGGCTGGAGGCCCTTTATATCTACGGGGCCCTAGGCTACAGTCCAAACAGCCCGTAAATAGATCCGCCTCTTTGATGTGAAACTCTATATTTAATATTTTAGTTTTCTTTGCACATGATTTATTTCGTGAAGCGAAATCTAGTTTAAACCTGATATTAACTATAAACTCACTTTGTAAAGCGGATTGAGATTATAAAAAATTTTATTAAATGATAATATTATGTAATATATACAATAGTACCTAAATATATGGTGAATAGGATGTTTTATGATGTTTGTCATAAATTTATTTTGAAGAGGTCAGATCCTTGGCCTATAGAAACTACACTATAGAACAGAAGTTGTTGTCAGTCGTATGAAAAACGAAATATTTCAATTTTAATAGTTAATTACAATGAGCTATGTTCTTGGAGTAGGTATAACGCGTTTAGTATATAAGAGGACTTATATGGCTTATATGTGTAATGCGTTGTGAGATTTAATTCAGTGTCAGGACATCTACTAACAGGTATATTTGCTACGTTACAGTGATTAACATAATTTCAATAATCTACCACGCACCCCCATACAGTGTAGTGGTTTACTGTACAGTAAATTATTATGTATTAGTTCGCCTGTCAGATTTTTTTAAAAACAAGCCATAAAATGTGATGAATAATGAAAAATTACTTACATTAACGTTATCGCTAGGATAAATGTTCAATTATTAAATTATACAGTGATTAAAACGACTTTTACTGATTTTATCGCGTTAAATTTATTAAGTCCCCAGTGGGAAGTTATTGTAATGGGTGAGATTTTGCAAATTTGAAATTTTAATATATCGTTACGTTGTAACGTTTCAAAGTATTTAGCGTCGAATAGTATGGTTTTTAAGAGGATGTCCATGTGAGCAAATGTACGTATGTATGTATGTATGTATGTATGTTCGGATTCAATTTTCGTCTCGTGTATCTCGAGAACAAAGAGTGATATTGACATGGGACTAATTTCATTTAGCGCATAATTATATGTAACTTAGACCTCATTAAATTTTGATCAAAATCGGTCAAGCCGTTTTTATACCGAATAAAAAATTGTATAAAATAAGAAGGAAGTTAGTCGTGTGGACCTTTCGGTTCGCACCTAGACCGCTTTTTTGATTTTTAATTCCGGACGTTTCGGGTGCTTTCCAGTACCCATGTTCACGGGGGACTGAGGTGACTGACGTCCCACTGTCAGTGTGAATCCGGAATTACTTCAGCATTTTAATTACTATTTATAGTCCGATCTACACAAAATGAACTTACTGTGTGTCTGAAGTTTTGCAGTAGTATGTTTGGGTTTACTTTTAATTTTATTAATTACAGGGTCCCAAGCAGGTGGTAGCACCCAGCCTCCTTCTCTATTGAAATTAGAATGTTTTTTTAATTTCAAAAGCCTCACCTATCATCCTTGGTAGGAATCGATGTTCTTTCGCGAGAATTTGTGGTCTATCAAATAGAATAGAGAGAGATCAAAAGACTTCCCGGAAAGTTGATGCTTCACGTCAGCTATATGTTCTTTTACACGGGTTCTAAGTGGTCTTTTTGTTTGCTCTATAGGGCATATATGAGAGACCACATTCGCAATCAAGCTTGTATACTTCTGCATCTTGTAGAGGAACATGACACATGACGGATGGTAAGAACTGACTAATCTTCGGTGGCTCGTAGAATGTTTTAATAGAGGTTCGCTTCAAGATGTAGCCAATCTTCTTTGTGACACCTCTGACATATGTTAGTACAGCAGGCACACGCTCGACTGTGGCCGGCTTCACTCGGTCACTGTGACGTAGGCGCGGGATCCGAAGCTTGTTGTCGTGCAGAACCCGCTAGACGTGCTGAAGCTCGGCGGCCAGATGTTTTCTGTCACAGATCCCTCGTGCTCTCTGTAACAAAGATTTGCCCACGGTAGCTTACTGTGAAGGATGATGGTGAGATTCACCGTTTGAATATTTGTTTGTATGGGTCTTTTTTCTATTTTTTCAATACATAGTGTGACCTATGACGTTGTTTGGATTTCAGATGACTAACTTAGGAATTATTTGCCTTTAACTCCATAGTAAATTGAATTTTAGAGTTTATGGAATTAAGAAGTTCCAAAAATGCAGGTACTTTGTCTGATGGTAAAATATTATGGTAAAGTATTATCGAAACGTTTTAATATCGCCGTTACACCGCGTGGAATCCCGTATGAGTTTATTATCTGTAGTGTTGAGGATTGTCTGTATAAAATAATATTGATAATGAAGATTTAGAGGCCATACGTCAAAACGTTTCATCTATGTTACGTCGAAGTTCAGCGCCAAAATTAAATCTTCTAAAAATGAATTTACCGCGTTGATGACTATGGGTGCTAAAAGCACCCGAAATATTGCAAATTAAAAATCAAATAAATTAAACGCGATAAAATCCGTAAAAGTAGTTTTAATCAATGTGTAGTGTTCGCTTAAATATGAGAAATCATTAATTGTACAGGTTAATTTGTAATATACCAAAAAAATTTCATACCTTCGTAATATTAAAGCCAACAACTTTTTAAAAACGATTTGCGATATTTTTTGAAGCTTATCGTTACGGCTTATGAAAAGTCAACTACTGAGAAAAGGCATTCTCATAGCTTAAGTCATAGGAAGAAAATTTGCCATAGGTCTACGCTTGGTTGGCGGGTTGGTAACCGCAGTTTTTTAATATTTAGTTGTTACTAGGGAGATACTACACACACAGAAAGAGAGCCGTGGTAGCTCAGATGGTTAACGCTCGCTGTAAATATAACAGAACGCGAGTAACCCGGGTTCGATTCCCGCCGGCACCAATGAAATTGTTAATTGCAATTTTAAGTGCTGATTTACCACGTGCTCGGCGGTGAAGGAAAACATCGTGAGGAAGTCTGACTGTCTGAGGAATAAGAAAAAAAAATATTTTCGAAGACATGTGAAGTTCGCCAACACGCATTGGGGCAGCGCGGCGGACACTTCCTTGCCCTAAAACCCTCTGAGAAATGAGGAGAGGCTTGTGCCCAGCAGTGGGACGTATATGTATATAGGCTATAACTTTAAATTTAGGGAGAAACTGCTGCTCATCTTCTGGCTTGTTTCCCTGAGTCGCCTCTCACGACACCCGTGATGATATTTTTACAGCACCACCACACAATGTGGATTTTCAAGCTTCATTCTTTTCGAAATAAGCGTTTTCTTTTCTGGAATTCAATTCCTTTTTTGGAAGTTGCATATTCACTACTCGACACCGTGAAGTACTCGCACGACGTCGCAGTATTACTACAATGAGTGCATATGACCACGTTGCAGTATTACTACAATGGGTGCATATGACCACGTTGCAGTATTACTACAATGGGTGCATATGACCACGTTGCAGTATTACTACAATGGGTGCATATGACCACGTTGCAGTATTACTACAATGGGTGCATATGACCACGTTGCAGTATTACTACAATGGGTGCATATGACCATATTGCAGTATTACTACAATGGGTGCATATGACCACGTTGCAGTATTACTACAATGGGTGCATATGACCACGTTGCAGTATTACTACAATGGGTGCATATGACCACGTTGCAGTATTACTACAATGGGTGCATATGACCACGTTGCAGTATTACTACAATGGGTGCATATGACCACGTTGCAGTATTACTACAATGGGTGCATATGACCACGTTGCAGTATTACTACAATGGGTGCATATGACCACGTTGCAGTATTACTACAATGGGTGCATATGACCACGTTGCAGTATTACTACAATGGGTGCATATGACCACGTTGCAGTATTACTACAATGGGTGCATATGACCACGTTGCAGTATTACTACAATGGGTGCATATGACCACGTTGCAGTATTACTACAATGGGTGCATATGACCACGTTGCAGTATTACTACAATGGGTGCATATGACCACGTTGCAGTATTACTACAATGGGTGCATATGACCACGTTGCAGTATTACTACAATGGGTGCATATGACCACGTTGCAGTATTACTACAATGGGTGCATATGACCACGTTGCAGTATTACTACAATGGGTGCATATGACCACGTTGCAGTATTACTACAATGGGTGCATATGACCACGTGCAGTATTACTACAATGGGTGCATATGACCACGTTGCAGTATTACTACAATGGGTGCATATGACCACGTTGCAGTATTACTACAATGGGTGCATATGACCACGTTGCAGTATTACTACAATGGGTGCATATGACCACGTTGCAGTATTACTACAATGGTGCATATGACCACGTTGTTTCACTATTTTTACAGACTAATATTAAACAGAGAAACAAAATAACATTTTTATTTTGTATGGCAAATATTATGAGCAAGTTTTCAATAGCATTAATCAAAAATCTTTTATTGTATATATATAGGAAATCTTTAAAACCAAATACACTAAAATTAGTGTATTTGGTTTTAAAGATTTCCTATCTTTATTTTTATGGTCTGAGAGCTTTGTAATATATTACAATTAACCCTGTATTCATATATTATGGACTTGAAATGTTGCTGATATTGATAAAGCTACTTAAATTAACACTACTATATTAACATAAACCTTATAAAATATAATCATCGAATGTTATTACTTTACCTTTGTGTACTAAAAGAGTAAGAGGATGGAATCAATGCTGCATGGATATGATATTCTTGGATACAAATAATAAATTGGAAAGAAAATAATAAAAGTTTTCATAATAGAGAAATTTAAGATTAAATTTATATATAGTCATACCACTATGCTATCAATAATATAATATATATGCACAAGATTTAAAATATTGCTTGATTACAAGCCCACTCGATGATAAGGGTTGATAAAGGCCAACATGGTTAAGTGCGCTGGCTTAGAATATACTTACTTCTTATTAACACTAATTAGTGTAAATATTTACTTTTTATATAGTTCCAAGATGAAAAGTTTCGTCGTTGTGTGCTTTTTCGCGGTGGTGGCTGTGGTCCTCGGTCGGCCCGAGCACTACACCGACCGTTACGACAACGTCGACTTAGACGACATCTTCAGCAACCGTCGCCTGCTGGTGGCCTACATTAAGTGCATCCTTGACGAGGGAAAGTGTACAGCTGATGGGAACGAACTCAAATGTAAGTACATAGCAAAAACTTAACTTATTACGGGGTTTTTTATTCTATAACTTTAAACGAGCAATTCTTGTATATATATAATCGGAATCTCGGAAACGGCTTCAACGATTTTCATAAAATTTTGTGTGCAGGGAGTTTCGGGGGCAATAAATCGATCTAGCTAGGATTTATTTTTAGAAAATGTCTTTTTGTCCGTGTTTTTAGGCAATGAAACACTGCTACAATATCGTTAGAATAAGAAGGTCGTAATACCATGGTTCGAGCCCAGACCGACCGACCGACTTTTTTATTTTTTTTTCAAGTTCCTTTCTTTTTTGCGAAAATCTATTCTTTCGAGCCCTTTTTTTAGTATTTTTTAAAAACACGAAAATTTAAATTAAACTAATTGCACTCATGATTTTTTATTCAAATAACCAGTTCAGTTTTTTCTATTATGTCGCTATGATCAAAAAATATTATTCGTATTTCATCAGTATGTAATTTGTATCTAAATATAATTTCCAAAACACACAAATACCGAGCAAAGCTCGGTCAACCGGGTACTGTTTGTAATAAACGAGTACTTATCATGAAGCTTATTTTATTTTAACAGAATAAAGACGACAAACGAGCACACGTACGAAATAGTAATACTTATTGTTACGGTTTCCGTGGGTTTAGCACAAAGCGCTTCTTACGAAACTTCCTTCCTATGGGCTTTCCGAGAAATTGTGCAATTGTGCGACAGTATCCACCTGATCGTAAGTGGATACTGTGGCCCAAAGGTATTTATTCGATGAAGAATCAAAATGAAAATGTGTTTTTATCGCTGAGTATTAAGATGGAATGCCTTATTTCCAGTTAATAGTGTCTCCGGTTCTTTACTCTCACCATACAAAACCCAGGAGTATTAAGCTGATATTTCACGGTGGTATTCTATCAGAGCATTGTCCTTCCCTGATCGAGCGGACCCATCCGTGCTACAACCACGATATAGCTGCTGCATAGTTATCGTTTTTGTTTTCTTAACGACAGTTAGTACCACTAATTAACTGTTAAGTACAGTTAATTAGTGGTACTAACTGTCCTTAACAAAACAAATAAAATGATCTCCTAATTATAGCGTATGATTAAGAATCGTATTTCATGACATTATACAGCCATGCTACAGTTTAGTAGTATAGTTGTAGCAAGAATGGGTCGGCTCGACCGGGGAAGGACCACGCTCTCATAGAATACCAGCGTAAAATAGTATCTTAATGCTGCTATGTTTCGTATGTTAAGTGTAGAGAACTGGAGACCCTTTTTACCGGAAACGAGGCATTCCATTTTAGTCCTCACGGTAGCCAACGCAACTGCATTTTGATTCGTAATCGAGGATAGATGTAGATGTCTATGGGCCACAGCAACCACTTACCATTGGTGGCCTGTGTGCTCGTTTGTCATTCCATTCTATAAAAAAAAAAACATTGGCTGTTTTTAGGAAAGAAAATAAACTTATTATTTTATACGGAAAAATTTCTACTATTTTGTTAGTCGTATATACTTTTTGTGGAGTAGTTAAAATTTTATAGTACGCGAGCAATCGGGAGCAGTGTTGCATATTTGAGGCTAAAAAAATCGGGACTTGTTCACTTTGCTCAAAAATACTCTTTGAATTAAGTTGCTGTGCCCAGTGCTGTATGTTACTTTTTTACTTTATACGGAGATATGATACTGAAAATAAGGTGATCTCAACCATGAAGTTGCTAAACGTTTTTATATTTAATTGTTCAACATATTATGTTGTAAAATGTTTAAGAGAAGTTTCGGTGGATTTTTGCTGATTTTCCCCAGAACACAGATTTTTTGAAAGAATATGAGTGTAATCTATTTTGCATAAAATTATTTAATGTAATAATAATTATGTACTGAATGTAGTTCATTCCTATCCATTATAGTTTCTTAATTATATTCATAAATCATTGTTTTTGCTGCAGTCTAGATCTTGTTATAAAGAATCAATTATATCCAAGATAATATTATTCTCTCAATTAAGCGCTAAACGTAGGCAACTAGTTATAAACAGTCTTCAATGTATAAAACTACTTTGACGGATTTCATCACGTTTAATTCTACTTATTTTTAATTCTCGAAGTTTTATTTAATGTGTAATATTCTAGTAAATATAGTCTTCGAGGCAGAAAACTATAATAAAACATTATTGAATAGAAAATATCACATACATTTTAATGATAGAATGGGGAATAGATGCTTCTTGATTATCCCGTAAAACTGCACTTCCAGATATGGTTCTCTCCCGTGCAGGGGGTATGGTTCTCTCCAGGAAGGAACCACTTAGTTAAAAGTATAGTAAAGTCCTATTATCGCAATCACGACACAACTACACGCGCAAAACTAACACATATATTACGTTTTTGCAGAAATATTTGCTAAGTTACTTCATGTTATTTCGTCCTTCTTGATAAAAAAATATAATATTTGATGGTCATAAAAAGTAATATATTAATTATAGTACGTGAGGGTACTATGGTCATCCGGTTAATATGCTCGCTTTCGTATAACTCAAAAACTGAAGCCTTGTTTTCATAGATAGCTTTATGATACGATAGCTCTTCATCGGTCAATCAAATAATAAACGGTCAAAAAGGCATTGCTTTAGCGACGCCATTTCGACAGTTGGAATTATTGTAAATATTTAAGTCGATTTTAGTATTGTGTAGTGTAGTTAGTTTTTTAGTAGATTTTTCCAAGTGTTTCTAATTACTGCCAAAGCTTGTTTGCTATTTTTTTCTTAATATATTAGTTACAGTATACGGCTGTGCTTTTGTATCTGCCCTTCTAGTTTTGGTTTTATGGCAAAGCTTAAGGTGACCATTACCCTGACGTACCTTATTCGTTTATTGGCGGTGGTGTAAGAATTTCCGCTATCTCATATCGGTCCTGCGGTTGCCAACCCGTCTGCCAAGCGTGGTAACTATGGCAAATACCCCCCCCCTTATGAGATATTCTATGGGGAGACCTATGTTCAGCAGTGGTCTTTGATAGGCTGTAATGAATCAATGAACATATACAGTGTTAAGCTGCTAGTATTTGGCTTGTTTCGTTTTACCACTAAAAAAATTATCCCTTTTCCCCAGCACACATCAAAGAGGCCCTCGAGAACAACTGTGGCAAATGCACCGACGTGCAGAAATCTGGTACGAGACGTGTCATTGGTCATTTGATCAACAACGAGAAAGATTACTGGAACCAGCTAACCGCTAAATACGACCCAGACCGCAAATACGTGGTCAAGTACGAGACAGAACTGCGCAAAGTTGCTGCTTAATGAAACTAAAGAATAATAAATTTGTGAAAATTAAGATGTAAATATGGTTTGGTAGTTCAGTTTTGAATATTTCATTTCATTAAACAAGTATTATTAAAAATAAACATTTGTTTTTATTCTATCTCATTTTTTTTATTTAATTTTACAATAATATTACGTAATTTATTTTATTTTATTTTAGGAAGAACTGACCGCTATGCGACTGAGTATATTTTAATAACAGGAGAGTCACTAAAAAGCTAGTATAACTGTCCATCCGTTGCTACCGTTGTTGCGCCCCATTATCACTTGCTGTTATACTACGTGGAATATGTGTTTCCCGTTTGGAATCCGGTCTACTCGGTTTATGAAGATAAAACAGAAAGGTTCCAAAAGAAATTCATACGCATTGTTGACTACCGAATGCATTCACCTCGCGATTCGTATGAAAATCTCTTATCAAAATATCAAATGTTATCATTAAAAGACCTAACATTTTAAATGACGCCATCACTTTCAGGAATGTCTGTGTTGGTGAGATTAAGTGTTTACAGGTATTGTCCGAGGTAATGTTTCGATCTAAAAGAGCACCAGTACACAGTATGTGTGTCCTCCACAACAAAATGCTTAACGACTTAGATATGTTCTCTATTTCCCAGCTTTCGAAACTAATTTAAAAAAGTATTTTAGTAACAATTATAAATTAGATATATTGATTTGATTGATTATTGTTTTCTTTTTATTTAACCTCTCAAACACCAAGCGGCCAAATTTGACCGCTTCGATATTCCGTCAAAATTCAAGCGGTCAAATATGACCGCACCCACCCACAACACTTTAACCCATAAAAGCTTATTTATAGAAACTACTTTTCTATGAAGAAGTTTAGCATTATAGAATTAATATGAAATTTTCTATCTTGAATTGCAATAAAAGGTTAGTTATCCCAAAGATATTTATTTATAATCTAAGTTCATTTCGTACGCCATTTTGGCGTGAATGTTATTGTGTTGATTTTTGGATTTTTCTAGTGTTTTATTAGTGTTTTAGTATAGTGTTTTATTATAAAATTGTGATGAAAGTTTTTGTGTGAATATGATTTATCTTTTTGCGTAAATAATTTAGAGTAATATATATTGAAATAATTGTGATTTCACGCTGCCGACATTCGCTTGATATGTTTTTTTTTGTTATCAAAATACAATAAAATCTTTTTGTAATGAAGTAAAACCTGACTTTCGTTTAGACCAAAGGATAGAAAATTTTGTATAGATTTTATAATACCATATTTCTTTACAGAAAAGTAGTCTCTAAATATAAGTTTTAATGGTTTTAAGTGATGTGGGTGGGTGCGGTCGCATGCGAACGCTCGGGATTTGCGATTTTGAATTGATGAATTTGGGATTTTTATGGGGATTGAAGGATTAAGTATGGACTGATAGGCTTGTTTAGCATACAATACTAATTACGATCTGCTTCATAATGTAGATATGTACGTTCTCAGTGAGACAGTTTGTAGGGAACAATTGTAATTACAACTGTTTATTTTACTTTTATGATATACTTCATAACTTTTGTTTCTGTTTTGTCTCCAATAAAGTAAATAAATAAAGTAATCCAATAAGGACGTTGCAATTCCTAAGGACTAAGGGCTTGCTTTGGAGTTTTTTTTTATAGAACAGGGTGACAAACGAGCACACAGTCCACCTGATGGTACGTGGTTGCAGCGGCCCACAGACATCTACGTCTATCCTCGATTACGAATCAAAATGCAGATGCGTTGTCACCCGTGAGGACTAAGATGGAATGCCTCGATTCCGGTAAAAAGATCTCCGGTTCTATACACTCACCATACGAAACACAGCAGCATTAAGCTACTATTTCACGCTGGTATTCTGTGAGAGTGTGGTCCTTCCCCGGTCGAACTATACTACTAATATAACTGCAGCATGGCTCTACTTTACTTTACCACTTTTAATATGTTTTATATGTGATGATGAATGAGTGAGTGTGATGATTCTTGATAGCAGATATTAGTAAGAGGGTGGTCCCAGGCAGAAAAGGATTGTTGTGGCGGTATTGTCGTCATGCCACAAGAGTAAAAATGAACCGAGGGCTACATCACGCTATTGAAGCATCAAAACTACTGGTATATAATGTTCCGTACTACATTTTGTGAGTGTTGACGGCCTGACGGACTTTTTCCTACTACCCCCCAAAAGTCCTAGTTACATGCACATTTTATGTAGCCTTTCCGGTATATTATACCATTGGGTTGTAGTGGTGGTGTAAGAATATCCATAACTCTATATCGTCTCGTAAGACGCAACAGAGAGAAATTGAAACAGGAGATGGGTAGCAGAGTTTTCCTGATATCCACTCAAATTAATAAAAAATACGGTTTCCAATCCGCCAGCCAAGCGTGGCAACTGTTGCAGAATCTCTCAATCTATTGAGAAGGATTACTTTCAGTAGTGGACTTCATTGGAATCAAGAAAAACTTTCCATAAAAAATATTTTGTTAGTATGTGGTTATTTTCTATTCATTACTTTTAACGAAAACTCTTATTAATGACGTAAATTATCCGACTCTTTAATTTCGTCATGGAGAGTTTTCACTGTATTATGAACATAAGTAATTGATGCAAAAATGTAGGAATTCTTAATATATTATACTATAACAACTACCGGATTCTGGCATAACGATAAACCGTCGTTGTCGCAAAATAAACACGAGCGCGACACTGAAAATTTTTATAACTGGCTACTTTGGAACTAGAACTACTGGAACTCTTTGCAAATATTATTGTGTATAAATTTTATTAATTTGTCACATTTGTTTACATTTTCGCAGCAAAATGAAAATTGTCTGTGTCACGTCAGCATGAATTTAACGCGACAAAATTTTCGCACAATGGTTTTTATGACTTTCGATGTCCTTTAAGTCAACAAGAAAGTTATGATAGACTTCGATTGGCCTTTTACGATGAAACCTTTCTCGTGACACTATATACAACAGGTATAATGAGTTTAATTGTGGTTGCACTAATCTCACCGATGATCTGCGTGAGGGACGGCTTTCTACGGCGATGACTGAAGATAACATCAGTGTTGTGCGGCGTATGATGGAGACTGACAAAAGAGTGACTTATCAACAGATTCGGACAAGCTTAAGCATCGGTATGAGTCAAGTGCACAAAGTGCTCCATGAAAATTTGGCAGCCAGGAAGCTTTGTGCTCGGTGCATACCTCATAACTAGACAGAGACCCAAAAACTCTGTGGAGGTGACTTTAATGCTGTATTCGATATGCTTGTGGGTGAAGAAAGCTGGATTTATTGTTACGATCCTGAAACTAAGAGATTGTCTGCTGTCTGGGTACTTCCTACCAAGTAGTTACCAACTAAAGTGAAGAGAGGTCGAAGCATGGGAAAAAAGATGGTGGCTTCGTTCTTCGGAAGGACAGGTCATTACGCAACAATTGTTTTCAATTGTTTTAGAGAATCGAGAATCAGTTACTGTAGGGTGGTACACTAAGAACTGTTTACCACTTGTCTTGGAAAAAGTCCGGCAGAAACGACCTCGCAGTAGGATCCTCCTTCACCACAACAACGCTTCGTCGCACACCGCCAAGCAAACAATCGACTACTTGGTGATGTCAGACGTGGGATTACTAGTTCACCCTCCCTATAGCCCCGACCTTGTATCTTTCAATTTTTATTTTATTTATTTCCGAAAATAAAAGAAAAACTTCGAAGAAAACATTTATCGACGTGGAGGAAGCAGTGGCTGCGTTTCAAAATGCCGTCGAAGAGACCCCTAAGGACGAGTGGGCAAAGTGCTTTTCTCTGTGGTTCCATCGGATGTAGCGATATTTTGATGTAAAAAAATGAAATATGTATTTTTAAAAGATATAATAAAACTAATAACTTGCTAACGTGTTCAGTTTCTGATTTTCTAAGTACTGTCAGTGTCACCCTCGTATAGTGCGTGAATATAGCCTCAATCGGCCAAGTTGTGAAGTTACACGATCACAAATTTATTTTATATCATAAATATATTAGTAAACACATCTATACTACATCTTGTTGCTTTTAGTAAAAAAATATTTCTGAAGCAGGTAACCAAGTACGTCATGAATTATGTAGATAAGTAAAACGAAACAATTGTAACGTATTACGTCCTTTATTACGGTATTTGATAAATATAACAAAATATTCCACCACTGAAATGTTATACTCATACTTCACCTTCCGCTATTGTATTATTTTTTACTAACTACAAGGCTTGCTGCTAACGTTCCAAAACTGCCATTTATGTTCCTATACAAAGGAGTATGGTAATTTTTCTTAATATGTGTATTATAAACACGTTATTCTAATACCTTCACCATCACTTCTCAGAATGGTTGTTTTTTATTTTATTTTTTTATTTTTAGCTTTAAGTAATGTATGACCGTCCGTAAAGTGAATATTGGGCTCTATTTGAAAATCAGCGCTTCTGTCATTTGGTACAGCAGCAGTTAGCTGAAATAGGGACCTAATTTGACTTCACAAAAATCCATTTTATTTTTTATTGTAATATTTCGAGTTTTTTGTTTATCTTTGTGATTTCAAATAAAGTTTTTCTTTCTTTCTTTTTGTGTAAAACTTTCTTTCATATTATTTTGATGAATAATACCTATACTTCTTACAATATTTGACCGGCAAACTATAGTCCGTTCGCGTTAAGAAAATAGTAAGTCATCAGTGCAACTACAGGGTAAAGGTGTATTCGCAGTGGAGTAAAAATTCTTTTTTTTTTCAAACATTTAATTAAGTTTAATGGAAACAAATTTTCTTAAAATTACTTAAATCACTAATCAGTATCGCTAGATTCTCCAGTTACATTAATTATGAAAGAATTTTGTTTTGCAAGTTCCATGATGTCATCCAAATTCCACATGGTATTTTCTTCGCGTATCACGTGGTCGCAGTACTTCTTCCAACGATTAGCGTCTATTAATGCTATTGCGTCATCTAATAATTTTTTAATGTCACTCATTTTGAACGTGGAGTTATTGGCACCAACACAATTTTTTATTTGGGCCCAAACGGCGGTAAGGCGGTGGATAATGTGTTAGTATCCTTTTGTTCTTTAATAATTTTATAAACAGTATTTTCGGACACACCACATGCACTTGCTGTTTTTATTACTGTGCTCTCCACAGTCGCATTTAAATCACACAGTTTAAAGTACTTATAAACGTTGTAAACTACGCGTCTCTCTCCGCTATGGATTATTGATATACTTTTATTCTTTCGAATAGGTGAAGTATTCATTTTAAAATTTAATGTTGAACGAGTAACACGCAAAATACACAACCGTTTTGTTCGAAGGCTTGACTTCAACTGGTCACTGTGAACTCGTCTTTCTAATTTCTAACATTTTAATTGGCTGGGGGGCGTGGCCAAGCCGGCGGACAACGATGACTCACTATTTTCTTAACGCGAACGGACTTTAGCTATCACTTCTCCTGCAGGTAAGTGGCATGTTTTGATGGTTTTCATGCGAAGGACTGAGATGTAATGCCTTGCAGCCTGAAATTATGATTAGCTATAAGAAATTCTTAGTTCTCAGAGTAAGGTACAACGTACCAAATCAGTCTTCCTTTTAGAATTTTAGCCTAAATACAATACTCTAAATACAATAGACCCTAAATTTATCACCCAACACCCACAAACTGTTACAGAAAGCTATAATTCTTTAAAAAAGTAATTAATTTTAAAAAAAATTATTTACTTTTTCAAAATGATTAATCACACGACCCCTTTCATTTGAATGTGCTAACCAATATCAATAACAGCTTAAGATAACTACAAGAAATAAGTCTAAGTATGTACATCAAAAATTTCATCCCTGTAATTTACTGCCTTTAGAGATGAATTATTTCTTTAAATTTCAATTGGATCACTTTTGAGATAAAGCCTATTCACAGAATTTTTTTTATAACTAGACAGCTGTGATTAATTTAACGTGAATGAAAAAATCCGCTTTATTAAAAAAGGCTTTAATAATTTTTTTGATATTCTGGGGTTCAAACCTCGCATTAAGGAGGGTCCTAGTTGAATGAGTTCCTTTGCCTTGGCGTCATGGTCCATGCGAAATTTGAACTTGATAATTTACATTTTAGTTCGCTGTAGTAATTCTTGTTTTAATCTGAGACTAATTATAAGCTTCCTTTTGTAATAAGGCTGTGTAAGGTAGTAAAAAGTTATATTAATTAAATGAAATACGAAAAAATGCAATAAAAAAAACTTAGTACGAAAAATCAGTAATAATGTTAAAAATGTAGGTAGTTATTATACAAAGTGCCTATGCATATTTTGGTAATAAGATGTTTTATTATTATCAAAATTTTCTGTTTAAGTTAACAGATATTTGGCCTACAGAAACCACGCAAAAGAACGGAAGTTGTTGTTGGCAGTATGAAAAACTAAATATCTAAATTTTAATAGTTAATTATAATCAGTTATGTTCTTGAAGTAGGCATCACGCGTTCAGTATATAAGGAGACTAAAATTGCGTTAATTCGTAATGCGTTGTGAGATTTAATTCAGTGTCCAGGCATCTACTAACAGGTATAGTTACTACGTCACAGTAATTAATATAATTTCAATTGTCTATCCTGCACTCCCATATATTAGCCAGTTAGTGATTTAGTGGGTTAGTTGATAGGTTGCAAATAACAAGTGCATATGTACTTTCTTTTTGTTGTTCATTTATTAATTGCTACGGGTATGGTTTTTAAAACACCATATAATTGTTTTTATTTAATTAAAATAACTCATTTGTCTTTTCACTCAAATATGAACATTTAAAGTGTGTTGATTTATAAATAATACCCGACGTTTCGGGTGCTTTCCAGCACCCATGGCCAGGTCCGATCTACGCAGAATGAACTTAATGTGTTTTGAGGTTTTGCAGTGGTATTCTTGGGTTTAGTTTTAATTTTATTAATCATAGGGTCCCAACCAAGTTATGGTACTCAGCCCTCTTTTCTATTGAAATCAGGTTTTTTAATTTCAATAGCCTCACTTATCATCCTTGGTAGGAATAGATGTTATTTCGCGACGATTTGTGGTCCATCAAATCTGATGTAATGGTTGGGGTCGTCTAGGATATGATCATAAACTGCTGATTTTCCGGAACGTTGATGCTTCACATCATCTATATGTGATGAAGGGAGATTTCGTGACCATGGGTGATTGAAAGCACGCGAAACGTCGGGAATCAACCGTTGGGAGGAGAGGGGGGGAGGGCTGAGATATTTGACATCGTGGCGGTATTATTAATTTTCGGTCCGATCTACGCAGTGGCATGCTTGGGTTTGGGTTTAATTTTGTTACTTATAGGATTCGAAGCGGATGGCAGCACCCACCCATATTCTCTATTGAAATTAGGATGTTTTATAATAATTTCAATAGCCACGCGTATCATCCTTGGTAGGATTCGATGTTCTTTTGTTAGTATTGTGGTTTATCATATCTGATGTAATGGTGGGGATGCTCTTGTATATGTTCTACAGACTTCCCGGGGCGTCAGTGCTTCACGTCAGCTATATGTTCTTTCACGCGGGTTTTTATAGATCTTTTTGTTTGTCTTATATAAGAGATACCACATTTACAATCTAGCTTGTACACTCCTGCATCTTGTAGAAGTATATTACACTTAAGGATGGTGAAAATTACTAATCTTCTTCGGTGGCTTGTAGTATGTTTTAGGGAAGCTCGCTTCAAGTTATAGCCAACCTTGTCTGTGACTCCTCTGACATATGGTAGTACAGCAGGCACACGTTCGCCTGTGGCTGGCTCCACCCGGTCACTGTGACGTAGGCGCAGGACCCGAAGCTTGTTGTCCTGCAATACTTGTTTGACGTGCTGAAGTTAGGCAACCAAATATTTTCTGTCATAGAGTCCTTGTACTCTCTGAAACAAAGATTTACTCACGGTAGCTAACTGTGATTGGTGATAGTGAGATTAACCATTTAAATATCAGGAGGTATAGGTCTTTTTGTTATATACAGTGCTACCAATAGTGTTATCAGCATTTCGAATGACTGAAACATGTAGGAAAGCTAAAAAATTATTTGCCTCTAACTCCATTGTGAATTGCATTTTAGAGTTTATGGAGTTAAGGTGGTCTAAAAATGCAGTTACTCTGTCAGGTGATAAAATTGTGAAAATTTCATCTACGTACCGCTTCTCGAATCTTGGATTTACAGCAGCAGTAAGAAGTAATTTCTTCTCAAAATTCTCAATGAATATGTCGGCGACTATGGGAGATATAGGTAAACCCATCGCTAAAGCGCCTACTTGCTTATAGAACTCCTCCCAGCACAATAGATAGCCAGATATGAGGCAGTGTTCGAGTAATGTTGCATATTCTTCAGGCATGTTGTTTTCTTCTAGCTTCCTGGCTGCAATTAATATGCAGTGATCAAATAGTAGGTTGTAAATAATGAATGAACATCAAAACTGACCATAGTTTCATTGTCAGCGATATATATATATATATATATATATATATATATACGTAGTAGAGTAGAGCGTTTGGTTTGTGTATCTACGGAAACCCATACAACCTTGGTGGTTTGGCACATGATGGTATTATCGAATTCACGATAAAATCCATGTAAGTAGTTTTATTCAATGTGTAGTGTTCGTTATCATTAATTTTACTCGCAATTTTTTGAAGGTTTTACTTTTGTTATAATATGTGAACTTCACACGTGTTTTTTTTGAAATTCTTAACTTTCAGTACTCTAAATCTTGATGTATTCGCGCGGCGTTGCAGTATTAATAAATAAAATATTCGACGGATGAATCTGACAACTTCGTTTCACTACTTTCCAAAGAGTGAAACTGAGTGTTCTATAACTCTTTTTACTATATTATATAATTGATATCAATCAAATAGAAATAAAATAACATTTTTATTATGTATGGGAAAAATATTAGCTAATTTTCAAAAGTCGTCAAATAAAAAACTTTCTTTTAGAAATTGGAATTACGTTCTGAGAGATTTTTGATAGAACACAATTAACTCCGTATACACACATTATGGACATAAACCGCCAAATTGTTAATGCCAATCAAATTTATTATTATGATATTTTATATTATATACTTATTATATTATAGACATAATACTTTTTAAGCATCATTAGATGATTTACTAATGTATAGTAATAATGTATATTCTAATGTATTACCATCATCATCATCATCATCATTACAGCCCTTCACAAGACCACTGCTGAACATAGGCCTCCCCCAAGGTATGCCACAAAGCACGAATCTGAGCTACCTGCATCCATCGACTTCCTGCATGTCTTACCAGGTCGTCACTCTACCTAGTGGGGGGTCGCTCTACACCTCGTCTATCGGTACGAGGCTGCCACTCGAGAACCTTTTTTCCTCAACGGTTGTCGGTTCTTCGAGCTATATGGCCGGCCCATTGCCACTTCAGCTTACTAATCCTTTTAATAATGTAATAATAATGTATAGTTTTATTTAAAGTATAAGTAAGATAGAATCGAAGTCGTATCACATACTCAAAAAAAAAATAGCACGGGAAAAAATAGAATTTAGAGGGTTAAGATTAAATTTATTAAAAAACCATTATGCTTCAATAATATAGTTTATATGTATGTACAAGATTTAAGTCAGTGCTTGATTACAGTCCAACCCGATGTTAAGTGGTGATATAGCCCTAGATGGTAAAATGCATTGGGTTAGAATAAGCAAATATTTGTTCACTCTTGTAAGTCGAAATGTTTACTTTTTGTTTAGTTCAAAAATGAAAAGCTTCATCGTTGTGTGCTTTTTCGCGATGATGGCTGTGGTCCTCGGTCGGCCCGAGCACTACACCGACCGCTACGACAACGTCGACTTAGACGACATCTTCAGCAACCGTCGCCTGCTGGTGTCCTACATTAAGTGCATCCTTGACGAGGGCAAGTGTACAGCTGATGGGAACGAACTCAAATGTAAGTACATAGTAAATCAGTTTATGTACTTACGTGTGTTTTATATCTATTTTAACATAGTAAGGGTGACAAATTAAGGGTGACTGTGGCCCATAGACGTCTATCCTCGATTAAGAAATACTTATTTTATAGTATATTAATGACTGATGTCGTAGCTGAAGAGAAAAATCGTAATACAGTTAGGCCCAATATCCAGCATATCCCTACCCCATATCAATCCTAGGGTGTCGTAAGAGGCGAATGAAAGAAACTGAAGTAGGAGATTGGCAAAAGCGTCTTCTTGGTTACAAACGGAAATTAAAAACTCTGCGGTCGTCAACCCGCTGCCCAAGCGTGGCAACTATGGCAAATATCGCCTTATAGGAAGGCCTACGTCCAGCAGTGAACGTGCAGAAATCCGGTACTTTGATAGGTTGTAGTGAGTGAATGAATGAATGAACACGTTTATGGATGGATTGGAAAGATTCGTAACCACCATCATTGTTTCAGATACCACTCAAAACTTTTAACGTGGTAGGAGCATGCTGTAGCTATATTAATTGTATGATTGTTGCACGAATGGGTCGGCTCGACCGGGGAAATCTCACCACGCTCTCACAGAATATCAGCGTAAAATAGCAGCTTAATGCTGCTGTGTTTCGTATGGTGAGTGTAGAGAACCTGAGACCCTTTTTATTGGATAAGAGGCATCTGATTCGCAAATAAAGATAAATGTAAATGTCTATCGGCCACAGCAACTACTTACCATCAGGTGAATTGTATGTTCGCTTGTCACCCTTATCCTATAGTGTTAAGCTGCTTGTTATACTCAGCGGCTTTCATGTGAAGTGTGACGTATTTAACTTGTTAATGAGCTTTATGAGCTCTGCCAGACACCTATTTCAAACATCACTAATAAAATTTTATCCTTTTTCTCCAGCACACATTAAAGAGGCTCTCGAGAACAAATGTGAAAAATGCACAGACGCGCAGAAATCTGGTACAAAACGTGTCATTGGTCATTTGATCAACAACGAGAAAGATTATTGGAACCAGCTCACCGCTAAATACGACCCAGACCGCAAATACGTGGTCATATATGAGAGCGAATTACGCAAGATTGCTGCATAAAGAAACTAATAAATTTACTTATTTAATAATTTAATTCACTTTGACTAATAAGTTTATAAAAATTGTGATGCAAATATGTTTGGAATTCATTTAATTAAGTAAAGTTTTTATTTAAATAAACTGTTTACTTATCTATTTTTTACTTAATTTTACGATACAGTACGTAATTAATATTATTGTATTTAAGGAAGTACTGAACACTATGCGACAGTACTTCCTATATTCTTAATAATATGAGCGTCACTAAGAAGCAAGCATACCAGTCCATCCGTTGTTACGGCTGTTGCCCCCTATTATCACTTGCTGTTAATTTGAAACGAAGAAATCTAAAAAAGTTCGGTGCAATTCCTAAGAATAATATAGATTTGCATTGGATCTCGTATCTGTACTCTTACTTTTAAATCGAATGCAATAGTGGGTGTGATGCTGCATAGCAGATGGTAAGAGTAGATGGTAAATTGGTCCCGGAAAAGTCGGGAATTAAGAATAAGTCAAAATTATTTAGATATTTTTTACCAGGTCTGTTTAACAAAAAGTAGTCGTTTAGTGAAATTTTTCTTTCCTATAATTTTGTCGCTTAGATGAATGAGAATTTCTAATATATTTTCTTACAGTATTTATTTAATAAAATGTCTGTTGAACCTATCGCGTTGATCTTAAACTGTTGTGTAACTAGGATGTGATTTAATATTTATGGTCGTTAGCAACAAAAAGTTAAATCACTGAGCGGCAAGCTGCCGCTTGGTAAACATTTGTGTAACCGCCCGTGTCAATGACTCGCCGCTTGGTCTATAGAAGCGGTAATTATTTTAATTGCGTGGGCTAACGCGCCGATGTCCTGAGATACAAACACCAAGAAGAAACATGTATAACGGAATATAAAACTATAATTCCGCTTCCAGGTCCTTCAATAGAGTCATTGTCAACGCAAAGTAGTGCACATTGTACATTTGGTACTAACGCGTTTTTTCCAATACTCCTACTAGGCGTAGGCGTAGTCCCGAACTCATGACCCAGCTTTAGTGCACCTGATACCTAAAAATGGTAACAATTCAGACCCCTTTAACTACAGTTCAATCATCTTCTTGTTCTCCAATATGATGGAATTTATTGTAAACTGCCAGCTCATGAGGTAGCTCCTGGGGGAGGCCTTGGCCGTTAGTTTGGACTTGGTGAAGGCCTTCGATCGGGTTTGGCACAAAGCACTTCTTTCGAAACTTCCTTCCTATGGGCTTTCCGAGAAATTGTGCAATTAGATCAACTGTTTTCTTGGAAATCGGAGCATCAAGGTCGTACTAGACAGTGCGTGCTCCAATTACAAGCCTATTTATGCTAGGTTTCCACAAGGATGCGTGCTACCACCTACGCTGTTTATTCTGCATATCAATTATATTTTACAAATCAATAACATTTAATAGTATACGGATGACAGGACAGGTGATGTATTTTACACCGGCCGTACCAATATTTCTCGGGAACACGTCGCCGAGTACAACTTGTGTCTGAAGTCGAGTCTTTGTTAACTAAGGTCTCGGATTCGATTTTGAAGACACAGGTTTACGTGTTTGCCGCTAAAAAGAACCCCTTCGTTGTATCTGGAATTTACTGTCTTATCGAATGACGTAGATTTCCAAAGTCGTTTGGGGAAGACTAAATTGGCTTCTAAAAAGGTTGGTGTGCTCAGCAGGGCGGAACAGTACCTCATGCCGGCATACCGCTTGTAACTTTACTAGATGCAAGTTCGGCCTCACACGGAATACTGTTCTCATCTCTAGGCTATGACACCTTGACAGCTCTTTTCACTTGACCACATCCAGCGAAGAGCGGTTCGAATGGTTGATTGTTGTTGTTGGAATTATTTGAATTAATTACACGCTCTCACAAAGAGCGTGGTCCTAATCGGTCGAGCCGCCCAATTCGTTCCAATGTGTTAATGGCCAGAAAATATCGTATCATTTCAGTACAAAAACCTTTTTCGTGTTGAGTAAAGTAAGCGCAAGTTAGCCCTGCGCGAGGCCAAAATCGGAACGACCGTCTTGCTATTTATGGCGGGTGTAAAGAAAAATTTCGGGATATAATTCCCACTATCATAATGCTCAAAATGAGCATGGTGGAGTAGCAATTTTGATCAAACCGTATTTTAAATATAATATTATTCAAACCAGATTTTACCAAGATATTCAGACTATAGCATTATCGTTATATGTAAGTGGTAAACACTTAACGATTCTATGTGTATACTGCCCTCCCTCGAATGGTAACTTCAGAATAAGTAAACTGCGTAATATAATTAGAGATTTGCCTAAGCCAATATACGTGGCTGGAGATTTCAACGCTCATCATGTGGCATTTGGATGTATGACCACGAAAAGTCGGGGTCATCAATTATACGATTTAATTGATGAATTTGATCTGTGTGTCCTTAACAATGGAAGCTTCACTACTATTAATTATCTTAACCGAAATCCTTCAGCTATTGATGTCAGCTTTTGTAGTGCTCCAATCACTCCACTATGCGAATGGTGGGTGCATGATGATTGTATGGGTAGCTATCATTTTCCTACGCTTACTCGTGTTTTATTGTCCGTTGATAGATACCAAATTAATCCTCCCATTGAAAAATTCTTATACAACAAGACAAACTGGACGAAATACAATGAGCTGTCTATAACTGCTTTTTCTAATTTTGAAGTTAATAATGAGAATCCATTACAGTCATATGACGAATTTATCGAAAGACTTGATAGACTTAAGAGGGATACTGTACCAAAGTTTGTCAAAGCAAATAATTATCGTTGCAAACCTCCAGCACCTTGGTGGAGCGACATATGTGAACAGAGTGTTATTAAAACTTATGAAGCATTAAAACTGTACAGAAGGGATCCAACCATTGATAATTATATTAATTACAAAAGACTTAATGCTGTTAAGAAAAAGATTATTTCAGAACATAAACGCAATGGTTGGGTGAACATCTGTAATACTTTTAACAGAACTACACCTGTTAATATTATTTGGAAATACATCAAGTTATTTAAACGAATAAAATGTAATAATAGAACATATAAAGATGAATTTGTTGTCCCTCTCTTAGAAAAATTATCTCAAAATGGATGTAGGGTTATTGATAATCTAGAAAGTTATTTTCAAATTAATAATAGCCTTCAGAAGTCCAGTTTCCTCATAGAACGCTTTACTTGGAGTGAGTTTTGTACAAGTTTACAATCCAGACGAAACACAACCCCTGGTTTAGATGATTGTCCATACATTTTGATTAAAAACCTAAATCAGTCCGTTCAAAAAAAAACTATTAGCTAATCTTAATGCTCTTTGGCACTTAAAAAAAAATTCCTGAATCTTGGAAAACACAGTGTGTAATCCCTCTACTTAAGCCTGAGAAGCCACCTGAAGATCCTAATTCGTATCGTCCCACATCATTGTCATCTTGTGTTGGAAAGCTTAATGAAAACATGATAAAGATGCGTCTTGAGTATTATGTAGAGGCGAACAACATCATTCCACATGTTCAATATGGCTTCCGGAGAGGGCGAAGTTGTGCTGACAGCTTCATCTCTCTCTTGTCAGATCTGAAATATGCCAATAATAATAATAAGTCCAGTGTTTGTGTTTTTCTGGATGTTCAAGTTGCATTTGATAATGTTGACCCTGGCATTTTGGTTCAAGTTCTTTCTGACATTGGTATACCAGGCATGCTTTGTCATTGGTTATTTAATTTTTTAACGGATAGAACTTTGTATATAAGATATAATAATATTCTCCATGGTCCCAGAAAGGTCTCCAAAGGTACAATGCAGGGGGCTACATTATCTCCATTGCTGTACAATATATATACTAGTCAAATTCTTAATTTTGTAAATATAGAAGGTGTAAATATTCTACAATTTGCGGATGATCTTGTAATATATTGTACAGACCATAGTGTAGATAGAGCTGTAAATAATATAAATAATGCTTTAGACCAATTGTACATATATTATAATGACAGGTTGGCTCTAAAGATTAACCCCAACAAAAGCAAGGCCACGATTTTTAGTAAAGATTTCCCCTCTAATGGCATACTCTACAATAGTCATCCAATTTCAGTTGTACCTAACCATAAATTCTTGGGTGTTGTCATTGATAACAAACTTTGTTTTGATTTACATATCAATCACATTATAACTAACTCTCTTAAGGGTTTAAATATTATAAGATGTTTAGCTGGTGTGACTTGGGGTGCAGACCCCAAAGTTTTAAGTATGCTGTATAAATCTATAGTCAGAGGCCACTTCGACTACATTTGTTTAGCCTACACAAATAGTAGTAGTGTAAAAAAACTAGACATAATTCAAAACAAAGCTCTGCGAATTATTACTGGGGCTATGTGTTCAACTCCCATACGAGCTATGGAAGTTGAAACCAAAATAATGCCACTGTGTCTCAGAAGACTTCTACTAATAGAGAGATACTTACTAAAGCTGTTATCTGGTAATGATAATGTTCTCAAAAAATTAATACCTTTTCCTGTACAATCCTCGGCACAGCAGACTTCGGGAGGTGAGTTTTTACGAGGTTATTTCCCAGTATTGCCTCTCATTGTACTACAAATGAATGAAGATTTTAAAAATGTAATTAAACAATCAAAGTGGACATGCTACTCTTACCCATATTCCTGTATTATATTTGAGACCAATATTGTTACTAAAAACATTTTTAATAACTGTGAATTATTAAATTTTCTTTCCGATAATAACTACTATACTTTGTATACAGATGGTAGCAAAAGTGAGCTCTTTGTGCGCAATGCTGTCAATGATCCCCAATCCAAGATTGGTCAAAGTTTTCTTTTGGATCCTAAATGCAGTGTTTTTACTGCAGAGGTATATGCGGCCCTCGAGGCCCTGAAGAGGATCGTACATATAAATAGTTTTAATAATTTTTTAATTTTAACAGACAGTTTAAGTATGGTCCAAAGTTTAACCAATCTCAGATTTGACTTT